TCTTCCCTGGCGCCTCCCAGGTCTTTCGTTGTTGCTTTGACAGGTGTTTTCTGTGTGATCTTACAATTCAGTTGTGGTTTTCTTATCATTATTTTTCCCTCTTTCTCCATTTTGTTTTTTCCTGTTTCCTGTTTCCTGTGTCCCGTCCGTCCATCCTTCCTTGCGTCCATCCATCCTCCGACTACATCCTCGCGCCTCCATCCCTGACCCATCCCCCCACTTCCCTGGCCCCCACCGGTAGCCGCGTCCCCCATCCTTGTCCCTCCTGGGGGGTCACCTACCCTCCACATTGTCTGATGGACCCCCGTCCCCTCGTTCTGGCCGCGACCCCTTGGCCATACTGAGCGAGATCAGTAAGTCGGTCAAACCGCGGCTAGCATCCTTCCGCAGCCTCCGAGGTGGCCGTGGGGTAAGTTGAGGCCGGATGGTGGGACCCTGGGCTCTTTCCTGCCGCCTGCTGGGTCCCCCCACATTCCAGCTTTGCTGTATGCATGGCCTCGCTCCCCAAAAGCCCTGCCAAGGGAGGAAGGTGGACCTGGTATCTCAGGAGCGAGAGAGGCGCTTGGGAAGTTTAGGGTCCCAAATCCCAAACCTCATCCCTTGCTTCACCATGCAGACCGTGGTCACCGAAGATTTCAGTCACCTGCCCCCGGAGCAGCAGAGAAAGCGACTCCAGCAACAGTTGGAAGAGAGGAACCGGGAGTTGCAGAAAGAGGAGGACCAGAGGTGAGCATGCGCGTTGGAGGAGCATGCGCGTTGGAGGAGGCAGGCATTGAGCGCGGAACCAAGTAGGGCTACTCCAGGGCTGGAGATGTACTCCACGGTGGAGTACTTGCCTGGGTACCTGAGGTCCTTCCCGGGTCCTATCTGCTGCTACCATGTCTCACTTGTACACTGAGATTTCCCAACCCACTCTGGGCTCTGAAGGTCTTTACTTTGTTTCTGTCCTGTGGGTGTGCTTACTGGTGTTCAGAGCTGTGCTGGGCCAGAGGAGGAGGTCAGCGTCCTCTGTATTCTCTTTGTGAGACAGGGTCTCTCCTCAAACTGGGACTTTGCGTCTTGTTGGCCTGGCTGGCAGCCAACCATCCCTGGCTGCCCTGTCTATGCCTACCGAGGTTGCAGGTGGTGGGGGGCTGTACCCAGGGTGCTGTATGGGTGCGGGAATCAGCACTGGGGTCCTCAAGGTTGCTCAGTAATTGCTCTTGACCACCGAGCAGTCTCTCTGGCCCCCTACCTTGTCTTTTTTTTTTGTTGTTGTTGTTGCTTTTGTTTTTTGAGACAAGGTCTCACTATGTGGACCTGGCTGGCCTGGAACGCTATGAAGACCAGGTCTAGAAATCAGAGATCTCAAGTGATGGTATTAAAGGCGTGTATCACTACACTGGCTTTACATGAGACAGGTTCTCACGGGAACATGGGCTTGCTGAGTGGCCTAGGCTGCCCAGCCAGTGAGACTTGGGGGTCCCCTATCTCTGCCACCCCACTGCTGAGATTACCGACGTGAGGTCTCATGCTGGGCTTTGCCCCGGGGAGCTGGGGATCGAGGCCTGCACTGTTGACTGAGCCATCTCCCCGGCCACACCTGATGGTTTTAGAGGAGATTCCTGTCGCACAGTTGGGTGTGGTGGCTCCTGTCTGTAATCGCAGCATTCAGGAGGCTGAGGCAGGAGGATCATGTTCAAAGCCACCCTGGGCTTCTTGAGACCCTGTCTCAAAACGACGGTGAGGAACTGAAATGTAAAAGCAGGAAAGGATCCATTACTTTCTGTTTCCTGTCAGTCCCTGTGGCCGGTGGAGATGTGAATGCTTGAGCAGGCTTCCCTCCTCACATCACTGAGCAAAAGGCAAGAAAACCACTGGCTCATTCCAATGAGCTTCTCCTCTCAAAAACACTCAGTGGCTGAAAGCGCTTGCCACCCAGGCTGGAAGAGTTTACTTCGATCTCAGGTGGTAGAAGGAGAGAACCCCCTCCCACAGGCTGTCTGCTGACCTCCACACAGGTGTGATGGCGTGTAAATGCACACATAGGCAGGTGGTATAAGAAATAAATAAGTAACTAGAGAAATTAAAGAATAGCTACAATGTCAGCCTAGGTTAATATATACTTTGCTAAAACAAACTGTTTATTATAGTTTCTGAGACAGGGTTGTCCTCTGTAGGCTAGGAACTACCCCCAGCATGGGGGATTCTAGGTAGAGCTCCAACCCAACCACGCCCCCATCCCCTCCCTGGGGATTCTAGGCGGGGCTCCACCCTGACCACACCCCCAGACCCTCACTGGGGATTCTAGGCGGGGCTCCACCCTGACCACGCCCCCAGCCCCTCACTGGGGATTCTAGGCGGGGCTCCACCCTGACCACGCCCCCAGCCCCTCACTGGGGGATTCTAGGTGGGGCTCCACCCTGACCACGCCCCCAGCTTCTCACTGGGGATTCTAGGCGGGGCTCCACTCTGACCACGCCCCTAGCCCTTCACTGGGGATTCTAGGCAGAGACTCCACCTCTGACCACGCCCCCAGCCCCTCACTGGGGGATTCTAGGCGGGGCTCCACCCTGACCACGCCCCCAGCCCCTCACTGGGGAATTCTAGACGGGGCTCCACCCTGACCACGCCCCCAGCCCCTCACTGGGGGATTCTGGGCGGGGCTCCACCCTGACCACGCCCCCAGACCTTCACTGGGGGATTCTAGGCGGGGCTCCACTCCTGATCGTGCCCCCAGCCCTCTCTTTTTACTTCTTATTTTGAGACTGGCTAAGTTGCCCCGGCTGCTCTGGAACTTTCAGTTCTCATGCCTGTCTCCCAAGTAGCTGGAATTACAAAACCGGCACCTAGGCTCAGTTTCAAAGATTTTAGTAGACAGGAAAACAAAACAAAAAGCCCAGTCTGTGGAGTCTTACCTCATTAATACCAGGACAGCTCACCCTCAACTCTCCATCGTGATAGGAGGAAAGGAGAGCTGAGTTATCTAAGGCTAAAGTGCAAAATATTAACTTGAAAAAATCTGCCAGACAAGAAAATCTTTAGTCATTCTTTCCAAGCAATAGAATCTTCTCCCCAGCCCCGTTACATAATAGGGGTGACGCCGGCCACTTGTTAGCAGGTGGCCGGCCAGATTCTCTTTGGCTGTTCACATGTGGAAATCATGGGACAGAAGCCATGCTTGGAGCTGCATGCAGCCTGGGCGTTTCTAGTGGCATGAAGCGTCTGCCTGCCTGGAGTGCCTAGAGTCAGAAAGGCTGGCTTTTCAGTTTATTTACTTTATTTTTTTTTATTTTGTTTTTATTCATTCATTTATTTTGTGTATGGGCTTACTTACACATGCCACAGTTTGTATGTAGAGGCTAGAGGACATCTCCCCATAGTTGGCTCTCTCCTTCCATCACATGGGTCCCTGGGATCGAACTCAGATTGTTAGGCTTGGTGGCAAGCACCTTCTACCTGCTGAGCTCTCGCGTTGGCCCTTATTTTTATCTTTTATTTTGAGACTGGGTTCTGCTAAGTTTTCCAGGTTGGCCTGGATCTTTAGTGTGCTACATGGGTGCTGGGGATTCAAACTCGTATCCTTAGGCTGGTGCTCTTACCCACTGAGCCATCTCCTCTGTCTGCCTTGTTTCTTGAGGCAGGGTCTTTAACTGCCCTGCAGCTCAGATTCAGCTAGACTGGCTGGGGCCTCCGGGGTCTTCCTGTCTGCCTCCTGAGTGCTGGGATTACAAGCATGCTCGCCACTGTGCCTGGCTTTTTACCTGGACTCTGGGGATGGAACTCGTGTCCTCACAGTTATGCAGCAAGTACATTACCCACTGAGTAATCTCTACCATCCCATTTTGATTTTTTTTGACTTGGATCTTACTAAGTTGTCCAGGTTAGCCAAGGCTAGCCGTGAACCTGCTAGCCTCTGGCCTCAGCATGTGCCGTTATGCACAGCCGCATTTGAGTTCATCACCAGCATCTTGCCTCTCATTGAGCCTGTTTTTTACTTGTTAAGTCAAAAGAGTGTGTTTTCCTTCCTGTGTGTCTGTCTGTCTGTCTGTCTGTCTGGTCTTAGGGAGGCCCTGAAGAAGATGAAAGATGTATATGAGAAAACACCACAGATGGGAGACCCTGCCAGCTTAGAGCCCCGCATTGCAGAAACCCTGGGCAACATCGAGAGGCTGAAGCTAGAAGTGCAGAAGTATGAGGTCAGAGGATGCTCTGGGGAGGGGCGGGCCGGGGAGCGGGCTGAGCTGCGTGAGTCACTGCAGGGTGGGGACAGGGGATAGAACCTAACTGCCTCTCGTCTAAGTTTTGGGCATGCATGGGTGATGTCAGGAAATGTCCCTAGTCCAAGAGTGGGCTGACCTCAGTACCTTGCCCTGGAACTCATGCTGTGATCCCAACCAACCCTAGGCTTGGTTGGCAGAAGCTGAAAGCCGGGTCCTCAGTAACCGGGGGGACAGCCTAAGCCGTCACTCCAGGCCCCCTGATCCCCCAGCTACTGCCCCACCTGATAGCAGCAGTAGCAGCAACAACAGTGGATCCCAGGATAATAAAGAGAGGTGAGTAGGGAACCAAGAGCAGGTATGAGGTGTGAGTTTGGTATAGCACTGCTCTGTAATCCCCTAGTGAGGGGATGTGGGTGTGGTCAGGGGCGGAGCCCCGCCTAGAATCCCCTAGTGAGGGGCTGTGGGTGTGGTCAGGGTGGAGCCCCGCCTAGAATCCCCTAGTGAGGGGCTGGGGGCGTGGTCAGGGTGGAGCCCCTACCTGGAATCCCCCAGTGAGGGGCTGGGAGCGTGGTCAGGGTGGAGCCCTGCCTAGAATCCCCAGTGAGGGCCTGGGGGTGTGGTCAGGGTGGAGCCCCGCCTAGAATCCCCAGTGAGGGGCTGGGGGCGTGGCTCAGGGGTGGAGCCCCGCCTAGAATCCCCAGTGAGGGGGCTGGGGGCGTGGTCAGGGTGGAGCCCCGCCTAGAATCCCCAGTGAGGGGCTGGGGCGTGGTCAGGGTAGAGCCCCGCCTAGAATCCCACAGTGAGGGGCTGGGGGCGTGGTCAGGGGTGGAGCTCTCCCCTGGAATCCCCTGGAGGGTGAGGCTCTCATCTTTCTTCCTTCTTCGAGCAGCTCAGAAGAGCCCCCTTCAGAAGAAGGCCAGGACACCCCCATCTACACTGAGTTCGATGAGGACTTTGAAGAGTCTGCACCCCCCATCGGCCACTGTGTAGCTATCTACCACTTTGAAGGTGGGCCTAGTGCATGAGTTACCTTTTGTTTTGACAAAGAGAACTTCGCGTGAAGGCTGTATGTAGCTCAAGTGGTGGGGTGCCTGACTAGTTAGTGTTCAGGAGGCCGAGGTTCAGTCCCCAGTACTGGCCAAAGGCCGGAACCTGGGGAGTCAACTTAAGGAAGGGTTATTTTATCTTTTATTTTAAAACATTTTCATTTCCTTTTTGTGTGAGAGAGGTCAGAGCACAACTTCCAGGAGCCCACTCTGTCTGTCAGACATGGCGGCTAGCGACTTCACCCCTGAGCAGCCTCACAGGCTCTCGACGTCTCCGTTTTATTCAGTCCAGGGCCCCAGCCTGCGGGCTAGACTGTCCACATTCAGCCCGGCTTCCCATCTAACTGCCCGTCTAGAAACTCCCTCACAGGCCTCCCATAGGTTTGTCTCCAGGGTGGAAGAGATCCTTGATGCTGAAGTGGACAGTGTTGCTGTAACTTCCGATCAGATTCACCAAATCTGACCTGTCCCCACCCCCACCCCCCAACAGGATCCAGTGAGGGGACCATCTCCATGTCGGAGGGGGAAGACCTCAGTCTGATGGAAGAAGACAAGGGTGATGGATGGACACGGGTCAGGCGGAAACAGGGAGGCGAGGGCTATGTGCCCACCTCTTACCTCCGAGTCACACTCAACTGAACCCCCCCCAGAGTGGGGGGCGAGGGGCAGGGCTGTCAGCTGCTGCTTCTGGGCCACAGGGGGCCCCCAGGACCTTGCACTTTATTCCTGCCCTCGTGGCTTTTGGCTGAGACCTGTGTAACCTGCTGTCCCCTCTCGTCCACCCCACCTGTCACCCTACGGGGACCCACTTGTGCCTTCCCGCGTGGTTGTACATATTCTCATTTACGACTGTTCTTCCTGCCGCTCGGCTTGGGCCAAGTTTTGTTTTATATTAAAAGGTATATATAATTATATAAAGCTCTTGGAGTCTGTGCCCTCAAGAGGTTCCTCTGCAGAGGCAGCTGGGCGGTGGGCGCTGGCCGCTCTCACAGAGGACCCCTAGTTGGTCTTGAACAGCAACATCTGAATCTTACAACCATCCAAGCCTGCGCCCCCTTGGTCAGCTGGCAACTGCCGTCATACATGTGTGCGCCCCCCCCCCCCAAGTTAAAAATGTAAAAGCTGCCTTTCTTATGAGCCACACAGGGAATATGTGGAGGCGAACCTAGGTACACCCTGGCAAGCCTTGTGCCTGTTACCGATGCTTGTGACCCACTTACTGTATACCAGGCATCGCTCCTGCATTAAGCTTTCATTCTGGCCACATTTCCCTAGATTGCACAGAGAGGTCAGGTGGTTTGCTGTGAGTCACACAGCATTTAAGAGGTAGATTCAGATTTGTTGATACCAGATCTGTAAGGTGTTTTTATTTAGAAAAGTCACACATTCACCATGTGGTTGCCTTCTGGATATCTCAGAAAGTATGCATGGATGAGTAAGGGGTACGTACATACGGGAGTGTGAGGCTTGGCCTCTGGGTACCTGGATAGGTATTTTGGTAAAAAGGAGGCAGTTGTTACACCCCAATCTCTTGGGGTCCATTTTAAGAGGGAGATTCTTGTAAACTTTGAACGCGGGAGAGGGCATTTTTTTTAAAAATTTTTTTTCCCATAATTTTCATGTAGCCCAGTCTGGCCTCAAACTTACGTAGCAGAGGCTGGCCTTGAACTCCTGAGCCTTCCATCTCTATTTCCAAGTGCTGGAGTTACAGGTGTGGGCCACTTCATTTCATAGCCTCTTGAATAGCTGGGGGCAGCCTCTTTGGGGTCTCTCAAGTATAAAACAGGGGCCAGGCTCTCAGCCCTGAGGCTCTAGTTGCTGCGACAGGATGTTGAGGACGTGCTGGAACTTCTCCAGGCGGTGGGCTCTGGTGGCCTGGGCCCCCTTGCTCCCCCAGAGTAAGCGGCGCAGGAAGCTGGTGGTCAGTGCCTCCCATAGTTCTGGGTTGGGCCTGAATCCTATAGGCAGAGTCAGGCGCCTATGGGGTGTGGGGTGTGGCTCAGGCCTCTCCCATGCCTGTCTTAGCGCTAGGAACTTTGATCCATTGGGGAGTGCCTGGGCAGGGGTTAGCAGGGTCGGGGGGCCCCTTGATCTGCAGGGGTGAGGGCAGGGCATGAGGGTGGCCAGTCTAGGAGCACCATTCAGGGAGCCCTGCCTTAGAGGCTATGCCTGGAGGTGGGGTTGAAGGACATGGCCGTCCAGCTAGGCAAACCTTGGGCTCAGCCTGCCCCCTTTGGAGGGCGGGGACACCTAAGGTCTTAGAAATTACCCAGGATAAGGGTCTTAGAGGTTGAGCTGGGCCCAGGTGTGAGGGAGGTGTTGGAGGGGACCCTATGGGGCCCGATCTTCACAGGCCAGAGGTTGAGATGGGACACTGGGTGTAGCTCCCCTGGGCTCAGAGGTCCCTTTTATTGCGAGGAGCAACATCTGCCACTCACGATGAGGGCTAGACCCTCCCCCGGGGGTGTGGCCTCCAAGGGGCCCTTGCTCACCTTGCAGGCGCTGGGCTGCCGCCCTTCGGAACTGGGGTGCATCGCGGGCCACTTGGCGCGCCCCAAGCAGGGTGCGCAGCAGCCGGTCACAGGACTCGTCCAGCGGCCCAGAGGTCTCCTCGCCCTCCAGCAGGCGCACTGCTGGTCCCACGTGTGGCAGGGCCACCTCTCCTGGGTTGCAGGGTCCTGTGGGAAGGGTAGGATCTGGGCTGGGGGCGGTGGGGTGGGGCTTACAGCAGAGCCTAGGTGATAACAAGGGCGTGGTCAAAGGCGGGGGTGGGGGTGAGGGGTGAGGGTGGAGGGACAGGATTCAGGAGGGGGCCCACCACAAGGTAAGGGAGAAGTCTAGGCTTAGAGCAGGGAGAAGCCTAGAATGGAGCAGGCATACAGCAGGGGAGGATCCTGGAGCTGGGAAGGAGGCTGGGGCAGGGGAAGAGCTTATGGTTATGGCGTAGGAGGCAGCCTAGAGCAGGGAGCCTAAAACGGGCAGAGGGGAAATTTAGGTCAGGGAGGGGGGCCTGGAGCTGAGCAGGAGCCTGGGGCTGAGGAGAAGCCTGAGGCAGGCAAGGCACAGCGCAGGCTCTCTCTCACCTGTACTTTCATCCAGAGCCCGCATCAGAGGCTTCAGCTCTTGTTCAAAGACCAGCGCAGTCTCCGTGTGGTTCCGTCGGAGATGGCGCCAAGTGCTCTCCAACCTGGATACCTGGACACAGAGACGGGAGCCCCAACTAGTCCCCTCTTTCCTGTCACCGGGCGCCCAGGCATCCTCCCCATCCCTGTTCCCAACACACCTGGGGCATGAGCAGGGCGCCCATGACCCCAGCCAGTCCCAGCAGGTCCCCTGTGGCTCCTGGCCTCAGCGCCAGCGCCAGCTCCACCAGGCCCTTCAGAGCCGCTGTGCGCTCCTCCAGGGGCCCCGAGCAACCCAGCACAGCCACAGCCCCGGCCAGCGCCAGGGTCTCAATCCTGCAGAGGTGGAAAGCAAGGGTCTGGGGACAGTGGGAGAGTTTGTGCTGGGAGAGGGGGCAGGAAGTGGGTTGCCCAGCCCCCTCCACCATGGGGAATGCAGGTAGAAATGGGGGCAGGAAGTCACACCCCACACCTCACCTCTCCAGCACCTCCAACCTCAGGAGATGACCATGAGGAAGTGTGAGTAGTTCTAGACCAGAGGCAACACCCATGGCATTCCTCTGACGCTTGGTCACCCCCAGCAGGCCTACAGCCTTGACAAGAGAACACAAAGCAAGGTGAAACAGACCAAGCATGCTGATCAGCCCTTGGGAGCCTGCCTTCTGTTCCTCTGGTGAAGTCATTTCCTCCTAATGGAAACACACCTTCCTGGACGGAGCAGGAAGCTAGCTCCAGGATGGGAGGGGAACTGACAAGGCCAGGGAAGTGGAGGAAACTTGGAAGTCTCAGTAGTCTCTGAAGCTTACAAGGTTCACAGGATTCATAAGGGGTAACAGTTTCTGGAGCAGCCTGCAGGGGGCGCTAGGGATGCGGCGTTTGTGAGGAGCTAGCATTGGGCTTTTTAGGTGATGCCGCCTTTGAGTCACCATGCTCCTCCTGTGAGTGACCTCTCACCTGTATGTACTCCAGGAAGTAACCCCATAAACTCTCCAGTTCACTAAACTAGACTCAGGTGGAATCATCTCCTTCTTCTGCCCCCGGTGAGCAGACATTTCATGCCACCCCAGGAAAAGCCACAGATTATCCCCTTGTTGATGGAGGGTCCTAGCAGGTGACCCACCTGGCAATCCACCAACAGCAGGTGCAGAGCAGTACTCCCAGGATGGTGTGCCACAAACAAGCTTCGGAGAGTGTGCAAAACTGTAGGGTCCAAGGGCCGATTTTGGGGTCCAAGCAGGCAAGAGGGGTGGTCAGGGATGCAAAATGAGACCTCAGCTTGTGGCCTTACAAAGCATCTGTCCCCTTCCTCCTCTTCCTCCTCGGCTTCCCACCACCAGGCCTCTGGCTCTGGACAGCTTGGCCTGGGAGTCGTTCTCTGAGCACTGGGTACTCGGGGGAGGAGTTCGCAGTACGTTGGGGTGTGCCCTGCGGCCAAGGAGGGTGTCCGGAGCGGCTTGCAGGGCGCCTTCGCGTGGAGCTGTCCATCAGAGGCTCGGAGACTGTCTGCCATAGTTCCCAGGTGAGGCAGCGCCTTCAGCAATGTGGGTTCACTGCCTGTGCGGTGCAGGGCAGATCCAAGAGTAGGGGGCGCTCCTGAGACAAGGAGGGATGTGGGTGTGCTTAGAGAAGACAGCTCGGGTGGAAGTGAGACTCAAGTCTCTCTCAAC